GACTAAATTTGACCTGCTTCTTAAAAGATCCATGAAACAAGCAGGCAATCATATTCTCTGTGAGGCCACAATCAACTGTTTCACCATCCACATCATTATCTGTAAAGAGTAAACAGAGGGAGATTAAATAGCGACACTTGACAAGAAAGTAGGCAAGACCAACTCAGCTAACTTAACTAAAAAGATATTAGCTTTATGTCCACTGCCCTACAGTTACCATAGAAATAAAGTACATTACCACTACAATTACCCCTTTAAGTTAATTATGTATTACTGATGTGAGCAAGGGAAGTGACAGGTCAGGAGACATTCAGCTGTTTTAAGAGGACACAAAAATAAAAATCAATTGGATGAAATAGCAAATTGTGGTCACCTAGACTGCGATTAGTGCTAAGCAATTAACCAAGGCTCAGTGGGTGACAAGGAGGAGGCTTTTGGCAACCTTGTATTTCTCAGCTTCTGAAGTTTATAGTAACATAAAAAAAAAAGACTGCATAAAATCTCAGTTTTAACTGGAAACTAATACTTTTGCCTTAATTTAACATTTAAAAAATGCTTAATAAGGAGGAGAATTTTACACAAGCAAATAGCTGCTCATGTGATGATTAAGAAATGTTAAATGAGCTAAAGTTTCCTGATAAAGACAAATTGGTGCCAAATTTCAAGCTCTCAAAAATCAAAACGATTTGGTTCAAACGGTTCAATGAAAGGAGGAGCTACGGTTTGGCCAAAAAGCTTATTTGTTCGAGGGTTACTTTCAGACATATTTCCTCTCTCTCAGCAGTGTCAAAATTTGACAATGTCACAGCAGCTGCTGGGGTTGATTGCTCTGCTCCGATTGGTGGGCTCACCTGGCCCTGGTTGCTTGGCAACCAAAGCTTGCCCCTCCCAAGCCTGACTGCAATTAACTTTATTGAACTCTCTGTGTAATACCAATGACTATCTATAATATGGCTCTACGCTGTTACGTCACAAGGAGGTGAATACAACGCCCTCGCTTCATTGAAAACAATGGGAGATCGCTGATATTTGGTGGTTGTTTAAGAGGATTTATTAAGGTGAATAATTGTTGGATTGTGATATGTGATTTGATTACCATGATAACCTGCCTATTGAGGCAAAAGTCTGATATAAACAGAAATTTGACTTAATTGGTCTCGATTAATGTTTGTACAAACTGCCAAGAGGTCGCCTAGTACACGTCGCTAATCCATCGTAACGTGTTGAATTTCACGCATTTATGTTCGCTTTACAGGAAATAATCATGATCTAAGTTAAACGTAATGCTGACGAGAAAATGTTTTAGAAGCTTTTAGGCGACGTTCTGTCTAGTTTATTCGTCTTTAGATTTAGCTAAAGCATGACTTAGCTAACACGCCAATGACATTAAACATTTGATTGACAATTTATTTTATGTCTAAAGCAAAGTAAATGGTAGAATTTAGAGCCTGATGTGTCCGGCACAGTTACGTTAAACTTTAAAACATAATCCACACAATGCGTTTAAATCTGCATACTTCGATTCTAATCATAAAACTTACTCAGTTTACAAGATTGAAGCTGTAGTTCCGACAAAATGGAACATCCGACCGCACAACAGCGTTTAGGCCGGATTTACTGAGAAAAACTAAATTTATCGAACACAAACTGTCACTCACAGCCAAAAACGCTGTTTAATATCGCCATTGTTTTCACCTCCACGGCGCACTGAAAGTACCCGGATGGAAGAAGAGCCCTATACAGTTTGAATGTCAGCCATTCTATGACACACACACGGCTTTCAAAATAACCCCCATCCACAGCCTCATAGGCCGCTATGTTAAAAGGCGGGAAAACTTCTGGAGGAAAGCGGAGATACCAACATCTTTCAATCGCTCTAAACGTCCCATGTCTTAATAAGCCACATAAAATATATACATTAACGTTCAGGAAATGCTCAGAATGCTCACGGTGAAGCCGGTTCAATTATAGGATATACGGTTTTTCCAAAAAGCCTTCTTGTTCGAAGGTTACTTTCAGCTTCAGTTGACTGCTCTGATTTGGTATTAGCTAGCGCTCGCTAACGTTAAAAACCTTAACATTTCAACTACCATTACACTGGTGTTTAAATTTGAATTTACCTCTGAATCTCTGGGCTTCGACTTCAGTCACCTCTACACCTGCCTCACGTATCTTCGTTAGCAGGTCCTCGGTTGAAAGGCCAACGAGCGCCATGTCCCGCTGCGGACTAAAGAGGAGAACTTTCTGGAAACAGACAGTCGGTTTTCTCAAGTGTCTAGTTCAACAACCAATCACGTTTGCGCTACATATGACATGCACCAATCAAAAGCAGAGCTGGCTAAAGTACCCAGCAACGGGCTGGCAACGGCAATACTTAGCGTTTACGAGCTGACGACTAATGTTATATGTTTGACCGCGGGGTTAACGGGGTACAGCAAGCATAAATAACACATTTATGTTGTTGAGAACGGAGTTCATTAAAATAAGTTTCTTGCTAACAACCGTGACTCATTCACAGTGGCGGGCCGTGGGGTTTCAGTCACGCCCCCAAACAAAAGCAACAAACCTTCGGGAACACTCGTGCTATCAATATCATACGGAAACACGCAACACATGACAGGCAGAGACGAGCGCGTTATAACATGGACATTTTAGGAGATGCTTTAATGTTGACAGAGCGAGACATCAGAGATCAACTCAAACGCAAAATCAACCGTAATAAAGGGATTTTAAACTTACAGTTTGGTGCAATGTGAGATGCTTTTTAGCGCTCGTAGCTGTTCCCTGCCCGAGTCCCAGCTCAGCTGACGCGAGAAACTCTTCTCCTGTCCGGGTTAGCCAAACGTCTTCGTCCCGCTGTCCTTTCCGCTGCTTTGCTCTAGAAGCTTGTCATAATGAAGGGGCGCAAAAGATCCGTGATCAGTAAATCCACTTCATTTTGCCTCGTTCGGACATTTCCAAGATCGTCTTGCCCATGCGCGGTTACATTAGCGGTTTTCCCAGGCGAACAAAAACGTAGGGGAAGCTACTGTGCTACTGCAGGCCCTGGGGGCGTATATGTTAATGTGTAGAATTCTGATTGGCTGATAATTCGGCTGCGTGGCTGTGTGCGGTGCGGCCTGACATCACAGGGCATGCAGAATCTGTTCTGAAGGCCCTGGCATAAGTGTTTGTAACGCTATTATTACTGTTAAAAAAAATAAAAGAGTAGTCTAAAAAAAAATAAAAAATAAAAAAGGCCCTGATGAGGAGCAGTGAAACCTTCACATTTAAAAAAATATAACTACTGAAGAAAGACTTATATAAATATTAGACATATTAATATTTAGGCTACTGCCAATTGTAGAGCCTATCAGCCTAACACACGTACTGTCTATTGTACCTCATGTAGAAGAAAAGGTACATATATGTACCTTTTACCACTTGGGTACATATATGTACCCTTTGGGGCCTCAAAAAGGTACATATAGTTACCTTAAGGTCCAATAATTAGCCCTAGGGGGTACATTAGTGTAGATTGTACCTCGGGGGACAAAAAAGGACTCATACTGTACCCCTATTTCTGAGAGTGTACACAACAAAACAATGGCTATTCTTTGTATCTGTGCTTTCAATTAAATGCTGTGAGCATTTCCGTCATATCTCAGTCTACACAGTCGTAGAGATCATTAATGAACTAAATAGCATATTTAGAGATTTGAGGTCCAGTTTAGCTGGATGTAACATAAAAAAAGATAAAATAAGCTTTATTGATCTCACAAAGGAGAAATGTACATGTCACATTTGGCATGGATAGAAACACTCAAGATTGTGCAAAAAGAAAGGAAATATTTTTTTCTTTATCATTGTGAATGCAAACTCCGGCTGTAACAAGTGAAATTCACATAATGAGATACATAATGAAAAGGGGTTTTATGACTCATAATTCAGAATTAAATACAAATTTGTTTACAAAGTTTTTTTTAAATGGGAGATTTGTTTTTATCAATAGTTACATATTCAAAAATTCCATATTCACTGACCTTTCTGGATCCAAACAACTGATCCATCAAAAATGATATTTTTTTTTTAAAACCAATCATGATAATTAATAAATGAATCTTTGGGCAACAGTGGCTCACTAGATGTCGACAGAATAGTCCAACTTGCTATGGGGGCGTTTGTGTGACTTGGCTGGTTTTATATCACAGGCGCAGAGAGATGGACGTCATGCTGTGCGAAGTAAAGTCACTTTGCACTCCAGAGCCAATGGAAAGGCCAGGCATCACCAAAAATGTAGAGAGGGCGCTTCACAGATGGTTTTAGGCTCCAATAGGAAGGTCCAAAACTGTCAAAATAATAATAATTTTGTGACAATTATTTATTCATGTTTTTATTAACATAATGCTACAAATTATGGGATTTAATAAATATATATTATTATTATACAATGTTTTTGGTTCAAAACTAAATAATAAAGCTTATTATTTAGCAACCTACATATATCCCCTCTTCTAACTCCATCAACATCTTCATTTGAAAGCCTGGGCTTTAACTGTAAACATCCACTTACTGCTATAATAGGCCTTATCTACCGCCCCCAAACCACAGCCGTCTTTCATTTGAAACATTAATGACTTTCTCAGGTCACTCTGCTAATCCTACAAAAACATCCTGATTACTGGTGGCCTCAATACACACATGGACTCGCTAACCTGTCGACTCACCACTGAAGGTACTGGACTGTCTAAATCTTAAACAACTCATCAACTGCCCCACTCACAACAAAGGTCACACACTGGACTTGGTTATCACAGACTACACCCCAATCACTGACCTGCAGTCTATGACATTGGTGTCTCTGACCATCTAGTTACTTCCTTCACAGTCCCCACGTCCTCCCATCTCGACAAAAAAAATAGCATATCACCTTTCGGAACATTAAAAACATTAACCCTGTCTCCTTCAAACAGGACCTACAACTTCTTTCAGCTACCCCGGACTCTTCAGCAGCAGACCTTATGGACCACTACAACAACAGCCTCAGCTCCATTCTGGACACTCATGTCCCACTGGAAACCCGAAGTGTCACCTTCACCCGCTCAGCTCCCTGGTACACCAACCAGCTCAGGGCCATGAAAAGGTCGGGCAGTGTCCTGGAGCGGGCCTACACAACATCTGGGCTGACGGTGCATAAGTTGGCCTACCAGAGACATCAAAAATCCTACTCAAAAGCACTCTCATCAGCAAGGTCAGGTCATTTCTCCGCAATCATTAACAATAACCCAGGTAATTCCAAAAACGTTTTTCCACCATTCAACATCTCCTCAAACCTCAGTTGCGTTCCCATCACACCCCAACAGTAACAAACTGCAATAATTTCCTTGATTTCTTCACTTCCAAAATTGACAGCATCCGCTCCACTCTCACAGTTCTACGTCATGGTGCTACGCCCCTTAGGGCTACGCTATGGGTAGACTCTTGAGGCACCTAGTCTCCACCAGAGAAATCGAAGATCCAATGCTCCAATCACGAGCCAGCTCCTCCTATAAAAGCCCCGCTCAGACCTGCACCTGCCACTTTGAACTCTGGCGCTGAGAGATCACTCTACTACGACTACTGAAGAATTGAGATGTAGGCCTTCCGTTGTTCGTCCGAGTTCCCGGTCGCCCTCCGGTGTCGGACGAAGAAGATGCAGCGCTTGCCAGGCCAAGCTTCACCGCAAGGACCAGCACGAACGTTGTTTCATCTGTCTGGGCTGGCACCATTCGGAGGAGAGCGCTACCTGCAGAGCTTGCATCTCTCTCCCCAGGGAGGAGAGAGAGCACCGCACGGCTTATGCTAGTGCCGCGGAGACTCGCCCGGACTCCTCTCAGGAACAGGAGTCTGAGGTTCAATATGTCCCGCTCAACTTGCCTCCTGCACCCAGGGAGTGGGGAGACTGTGTCGTGACAACATGTATGATGGAGACGAGGGGTCTCTCATCACTCTAGACAAAGCCATTTCCTCGAGTGATGGTCAAGACCGCTTCCCGCTCGACCATATGCCCCGCCTCTTTTCTGCAGCGGTGAAGCGAATGGAGATTCCCCTCCCACCTCAGCCCACTCAGGCGGAGAGAGACTTCACCTCGGTGGGGACTACGGAGCAGGGGAGGAAGAGACTCGTACCTACACGACAAGTGACTGGCCCAAACCCCTGGCGACCAAGAGGCCCGCCCTGGGGTACTGGTCGTATTGCACGGTCCAAGACTGGTCTTGGTCCAGTGGGGTCCCGGATGTCGAGGACGCGGTGAGACTGGCGCTGCTTCCCAAGTCCTCCGTGCGGCCAGGCAGCAGACCTCTCCTTCCCTCCGAGCGGGATAGGACGTCGATGTCTACCCTGGATAAGTGCTATGCCAACGCGGCTCAGGTGGTTGCGCTGGCTAGTAACATGCCGTTCCTCACTGGGGCTCTGGACAGGTCTCTCTCCACGGGCCAGACGCTCAGCGGCGAGGACCTCACGGAGGCTAGAACTACGTCAGCGGCACTACTGAAGATGGCCCAGGCGCTGGCTAATGACGGGGGTCGCTCCATGGCCGTCGCACAGGTCGGTGCCTGGCACCTCTGGCTGGGGCTGGCGGACATCGTGGAGGCGGAGAAGAGGCAGCTGCTTGACCTGCCCATCTCCACCACCTCGCTTTTCGGTCGGGACAGGCAGGGGCTGGTCGAGAGGATGGACACCGGGGCCAAGGACTCTGCCAAGCTGGCGCCACATCTGGTCCCACGGCGTGTGTCCCGCAACCAGTCGAGGGGCTTCGACCAAAACAGAGACCAGACTCACAGATGGCGCTCCGTTCCTTCGCTCTCCTCCAGCAAGACCCCGGGGCCCGAAGCAGACCTTCGGAGATGTTCTGATAGCCCGGGGGCTCGGACGAGAGACTCACAGCAATTGGTCCAGACCGCTGGCCCCGGGCCCATGGCAACCAGCGCTTCGTCCTCTCTATCTGAAGGGGAGTGAAGCGGGAAGGTCAGGCTGCTATAAGTAAGACCGGGGTCAGTAACCCTCTCTGACTCATGCAGCGTATTACACGGGGGCTCCCTGCCCTTTGGGCCGCCTCCCCCTCCTGGTGCTCCCAGGGGCTCTCGGGGACAAGTGCTTCAAGCCCTGTGCCCCCTCTCACAGAGTTTTACCATGTCTGGAGAGAGCAGGGGCTCCTCTCAGACACATGGTTGGAGAAAACTTGAAGCAGGGGGTAAGCCTTGCAATTTGCATGGAGGCCACCGCTGTTCCAGGGCGTTCGAGCGGCGCACTCCCTGGTGCGGGGGTCAGAAGAGGCGCTCCAGAAGAGGTCTCTCTGCTGAGACGAGGCGCCACGGTCGATGTGGACCCGCAAGATGTCTCCAGGGGGCTATAGTCACCGTACTTCTTGGTCCCCAAGAAGACATTGTGAGTGCGCCCCATCTTGGAACTGCGCACGTTAAACGAGTGCATTTCCAAGCGTCTGTTCCGCATGCTCTCCAGAATACAGCTTCTGGAGTGTGTCAGACCCGGAGACTGGATGTCTTCCATAGATCTGACGGATGCTTACTTCCAAGTAGTGATTGTGCCAGAACACAGGCGGTTCCTGCGCTTCGCTGTGGGAGGAAAGTGCTACGAGTATTACCGTCTCCCGTTCGGGTACGTGCTGGCTCCCCGCACCTTCTCCAAATGCGTGGAGGCAGCCTTGGAGCCGCTCAGATGCGCAGGGGTCAGGATTTTAACCTACATAGACGATTGGTTAATTCTGACCCCGTCCAGGGAGGTGGCCACGAGTCACACGTGCTGGGTTTTGTCTCACATACAGCGCCTGGGCTTTGTGGTGAACAGGGAGAAGAGCAGGCTACAGCCTGCTCAGCACCTGATGTATCTCGGTTTGCAGCTGGACTCGGTGGGGTTCCGAGCTGCATTGTCCGAGGACAGGCGAGGGAGCATCACCCGCCTGGCCAGGGAGGCGTTGACTGCCCCCAGAGTCCCCGCTCGTAGCCTCAGGCCGCTCCTGGGGATGATGGCGGCGGCCCACACGGTGGTTTCGTCAGGGCCTCCTCCACATGAGAGGGTTTCAGAGGTGGCTCTCCCGCCTCAAGCTTCACCCCTCACAGGACAGGGGGAGGCTGCTCGGGGTTCCCCCGACCGCAGTGTCGGACATCAAGGTTCTGGCTCACCCCGGGCCTGATGCAGGACGGGGTGCCTCTGATCGGTGTCGTCTCACACGTGGAAGTGTTCACGGACGCCTCACTCAAGGGGTGGGAAGGGGTCCTAGGCCAGAGCTCCGTAGGCGTCTACCGGTCGGACCCGGCCCGCCACATCAACCTGCTGGAGATGGAGGCAGTGCGCAGGGTGCTGCTGCACTTTGCCCCGCAGTTGGAGGGGAGGCATGTGATGGTGCGTTCGAACAACACCACGGTGGTGGCGTATCTGAACAGGCAGGGGGGCACAAGGTCCCCCGCACTCCATCGGTTGGCGGCAGTCATTCTGCTCTGGGCTGCGGTGCATCTTCAGTCTCGGAGCATGCCATTTTCCGGGAGACTGGAACACAGGGGCGGACATGATGTCCAGAGGGGGCCCACTCCGTGACGAGTGGATGCCTTGGCTCATTTCACGTGGCCAGGGGTCCTCCTGTACGCGTTACCCCGGTTCGTTTCCTACCAGTCCTGCTGAGGAGGATCGAGCAGGAGGTCGGTCGGTGATACTGGTCGCTCTGGACAGTCCGCATGCCCGTTGGTTTCCGTTCCTAAGGGGCATGGTGGTGATGGAGCCGTGGGCTCTCCCTCACGCCCAATGCTAAGCCACAGACTCTGGGTCTGGAGGCTGAGAGGCAGAACCTTGTAGACCTGGGTCTCCCCCCTTCGGTGGTGGAGACCATTCAGGGCGCAAGGGCGCCTTCCATGATCAGAGCCTATGGCTGGAGGTGGAAGGTTTTCAGTGACTGGTGTGCGGTGCGTTCCTGGGACCCCATATCCTGCCCTCTTGAGGGGATCCTGGGTTTCCTGCAAGTGCTGCTTGAGAAAGGGAGGGCTGCCATTGCCTCGGGTCACGGTGGGCTCTGGGTTTTTTTGGCCTGCTCCCACCCATTGGTTAAACGCTTCCTTCGGGGGGCCCGCAGGAAGAGGCCCCTCCCTAGGAGAACGCCTCCGGTCTGGGACCTGGTTCTGAGGGGCCTATCGGGGGCCGCCTTTCGAGCCGGTGGCTCAGGACAGCCCGGAATTTGTGGCTTTCAAACCCGCTATCTTGTTGGCTTTGGCCTCGGCCTCGACCAAGACAACCAAGACTGCCTGTCTGTCGTTTAGTGCAGGGGACGGATTGGTGGAGCTCTGGCCCAATCCGGCTTTTCTCCCTAAAGTCGTTACTTCGGTCTTTAAGTCTAGGGTCATCAGGATCAGACCCTTTAGTCCGCCGCCTCATGCCTCGGAGGCAATCAGAATGCTGAGACGCTATCTGGACGTGACGTCCTCCTTTACGTTTTCTGATCAGCTGTTTGTATGAATTGGTCCTGAGAACAGCTGTCGTCCCACGGTGCTTTCAGACAGCAAACGCTGAAGCTTCGCTCACTAGACGTGCATTCTCTAGTTTTCAGACGCAGGGGTCTTCACACCAGCTTCTTGTGTAAGATCTTTACACGATCTTTATTCTCCAATAATGCAGCTTTGCAGGGTGTCTGTGTTCAGAGACCTTCCACGGACTTTATATAACAATAGTATGTGTTCACGGAGGTGCGCATTACGTTTATTTAATTATTAAACAGTACTTCCGCATCGGCGAACACACTCAAAGCAGTTGCATAAACTCACGGGAGCATGACAACGCATATATTCACAAGCATAGTCCCCCATTGTCAACCCTGGTTTTAAGTCGTGGTGTAGCTCCTGTTTTGGCTGTTTACAGTGTCATGAAATCATCATGTAAGTGATTTAATCAGAAGTTGAGATTAAGGGGATAGAGGGGTTTTCTTATAGGCTATACTTAAGTTTTATATCATATAAAAATATGTTGTATTTTATGTGCTCATGTAACCAGAAGTATTATAGAAATGTATGCCCTGTATTTTGAGATATTTTACTTTCATGTGTATTACAAGATTAAATGACAGAAGCATTGATTGTGAAACTCTGTGGGAGGGCTTGCTAAATTGTGGAAAATTCTCTTTTAAGGAAGCAGAGGCGTACAGGGTGACATAGCCAGGGGAAAGGGAAGGACCAAATTTGGGCATGCGTATAATCTTGGAGGACTATAAAAAGTAGAATCAGACAAGAGACGAGGACATCTCTCCGCGGAGCGGACCCGGAAACCTGAGGAGACCGTGGGCGGTGAAGGAGGAAGAGTTGTGGGTCTCATCCTAACAACCAGCCAACTAACATATAGCCCTTATTAATTTTGCATTTGATTTGATTCAAAAGGACTATTTGTCACAGTTTGTTTGGAGAATATGATATATTTTAATTACGTTTGTAATTTTGTCCCAGTCATTGACAGCGTTAATCAAAATCAAGTTATGCAGCTTACATCATGCGCAGCGACAAAGCTTGTCCTGCTGTTGTTTGCTAAAGCTAAAGGTGTTTGGAGGCAACAGACAAATAATACCTGCTTTAAAAGGAAACGTGGTTAATATCCACAACAGAAAAACCCGGAGGGGGAGAAAAGCAACATGTGCCAGAGGTGAAGGGGAGAAAAGTCAGATGTGAGGTCAGGCTGATGGTGCGAAGACTGCGGAGGGAGAGACGGCAGAGGTAGAACACCGCGGTGAAGAGACCCGGCTTTTCGGAGTCAGCGGTAAAGAGGTCCGCACATTAAAAGCAGGGGGGCCGCTTTATGCTGCTACTAAAGCCTAAGTTATACTTGCGCGGCGCGGCTTACGTTAGTGGTTGCGGTGGACCTACGTAAGCACTCTTGGTGTGTTACTTGCGCGTTAACCCCCATAGACCCCCCCTTGCTGAATTCCGAAAAGATGTTGTAATCCCACCCCCTATCCACACGGTGGCCATCTCACAAGATTTGTCTGGGTCCCACTATAAAGTTCCGCTAGCTACTTCCTCCTCTTCAAAACAACTATGGCGACCAGACAAGTTGTGCTACTGCGAGAGCTGTTGAAGGACGATGAAGAAATGCTTCGAATCGCCTACAATATGTATTTCAGGCGTACGCAGACGTAGATGATATGTGCGACCGCTGAATGTACCCCGGCCAATCAGTGGGGAGTACACCAGTCTGATTCAGCCGCTTCGAGACATGGACGAACAGATGCATTTTGCCTACTTCAGGATGCCTGCAAGCAAGTTCGATGATTTGGCACATAGACTGAGACCCCATAGTCGCCACCAGAACACTCATAATTATCCGATTACCTTGCACGAACGATTGGCTGTGACTCTGAGGTTCTTGGCTAGTGGAAGTAGCCAGCAGGCATTGTCTTCTAGTTACTAGATGGCTAGCTCCACAGCCTCCAGGATTGTGACGGAGACATGCAAGGCATTGTGGAAGGCACTACAGGAAGATTTTCTGCCATCTCCGACTGGAGCCCAGTGGCAGACTGTCGCTGCAGATTTCTGGAGGCTTTGGAACTTCCCTAATTGTTTCGGTAGTTTGGATGGCAAACATGTGAATATTCGTGCCCCCCCGCGTGCTGGAAGCAACTACTTCAATTACAAGGGAAGCCATTCCATTGTCCTGATGGCCACGTGCGACGCGAGGTACAGGTTCACCACAGTGGATGTTGGAGCATATGGTCGGGAGAGTGACGGGGGAGTATTCAGGGAGAGCGTCTTCGGATCCATGCTGCTGAACCACGAGGCCAACCTCCCCCCGCCAGCTATTCTTCCTGGGACAACAGTCCAGTTGCCCCACGTCCTCGTCGGTGATGCTGCCTTCCCTCTCCACAACAATCTGATGCGGCCATACCCTGGTACGTTCTTATCATTTGCATGTGTTGTATGTTCTGCTTCTTAAATGGTATGTTGACTAAGTAGTGCTTAAAGTTAATTTATGTGAGGTTTGTATTGGAAATAATAACCATTACATGTATTGATAACTATCTTATGTAATTGTAGGGGCAGCCCTATCTGAGGAGAAGAAGGTATTCAACTACCGCTTGTCCAGAGCCAGGAGGATCATTGAGAACACGTTTGGGATTATGGTGGCGAGATGGCGAATCCTTGGACGGCCCCTCGAAGCCCTTCCAGAGAAAGCCAAAACAATTGTGAAGACCTGTGTGGTGCTACACAACTACCTCACCTACACTGATGAGGGCAACACTGAACCCTGCCGCTACATAACGCCCTCATTTGTTGATGTGGACACAGTGGGACAGCTACAAGAGGGTGAGTGGCGAAGAGTCACTGCAGGAAGCAACGGCCTGGAGAACCTCGCCCCCCATCAGCTAACCCGTGCACGGTCCACACGGGCAGCCAGGGCTGTGCGAACAGATCTCACCGCCTTTTTCACTTCTGACATTGGAATGGTGCCATGGCAGTACGACATCGTACGGCGAGGACTGCTCAATCCTGTAGAGCATTAGCATGTATTTGCTCATCCCCACATGGACCAATCGATTGTGTTTAATTTTCATATTGTGCACAATAAAGACTGTTGGTAAAAAATCCAGTGAGGTTATTTTCTGAGCACTACACTGCCCTGCATTGTTGACCAGTGTAGACCTACTAATCGATTCAAACACCCGCACACCATTTTTGACCACCTGTCATAACACATCTACTGATAAAAGCTGTCTTTAAACTGATGTTGCACTTTTCCATAGACTTTTATTGAACATTACACTTTATTAGGGAGGTGATACACAGCATGAATTGTAATTTAGTCCCACAGTGGGGAAATGTCAGTGTAGCAACACAAGTTAGAGAACAGTAGGAAAGAGGAGCACACAGCACACGTTAATAGCTGCCCTAGTTAAAATAAACCAATCTTCAAATATAGCATCAATAAGTATTTGAAACTCTGTCTTGAAAAGAGTAAAAGTTTAACATTATAAAGTACTTAACAATTGTAAACCGCTTTGAGACTCCGATGTGCAGTGAAAAGGCGGTATATAAATAAAGCTTACTTACTTACTACTACTACTGTGTATTATAGTGCAAGTAGAGCGTGGTTAGGGTAGTAGCAGGATGTTTGCATCATACATAATCATTGTAATCTGTCTAGTTTCCTGTATGGGGTAAAGACTGAATTTGAAACTGTTTTCAACCATTTTAACTATGATCTATACCTGCAGTACACACACTACCCTAATAATCCAAAGTGGCTAGCCACTTATTACCAATTCCAATCAGATGTCAGTAGTGTTTGTATGGCTCAATATAATGTATTGACATTTTTTTAACATTCTGTGCCATATAGGGAGCACTGCACCCACCTGCATGGGCAACAAATGAAAAGATTGAAATGGAGGCCCTGTACAGCATGTAGATATGGGAAGCATGTGCTCCTATTCTTACATATATTTTTAGTTCCTGGTGTCTTTATAACTTACATAATACACACCACTTCACTGTACTGCTGTCACCTTACATTGTGTGCACCATGTGCACTTGTATATTGTAAATAGTAACTGTAACTCTAAAATTTAAATTTATTCCTTAGAAGTGTTTTTTATTCTTTATTATTTCTTTCTGACTTGCACTGAGCCAAAGCAATTTCCAAGTCTGTGACTTGGCAATAAAAATTATTCTGATTGTGCATACTTCTGTCAATGCAAAATCAGAATACTATCCAGTGTCTGTGTTCCTGAAAGTTAAGTGATAATTATGAATTCTGATGCCAAAGTAAAAACCATTGGCTGTACACCTTTTAGCTGTTCCATGGTAATCAACTTGGTCTCCATTTTGTGTACAGAAACAGAATGAGTGCTATTACCTCCCTTTGATCTGCCTTGATGTGGACAGACATTGAATTATCTATTCACCAAAAACTGTGATTAACTTAATAAAATAATAAAAAAAAAGTGATTTTCAACATAGTGCAAACTCAAATAAGGTGCAAAAAATGTACATTTACAGTTCAAGTGTCAATCATCAAGAGCTGCTTCGTAAGCCCGGTCCAAGAAGAACTTGACCAGCCCAAGTTGCTTCTCTCTCTTCGGAGTGCCGCGGCCATTTGGGTACCGAACTGTGTCTTGTCATCGACCGCGGCCCGGAGAGCTTCCTGGGTTGCTTGACAACGCTTTTCCAGTGCCTGCATCTCTTGCATCCACCACGTCTGTCCGTCGAAAGTCTTCCTCTTCACTGAGGAGCTTGGTGGCCTGAGCAAAGACGTGGGGGGCGGAGATTGTACGGGTGTACTGCCGTGTAGGCTCACCCACCCGCTAGGAGCCGTCATCATTCCCCTCGAAAGAGCTGGTGGCCGGTCCCCACAAGGAGCTGGTGGAGGGTCCTGCCAAAAAGTTGGTGGAGGGTCCTGCCAAAGAGCTGGTGGAGGGTCCTGCCAAAGAGCTGGTGGAGGGTCCTGCCAAGATGCTGACGGAGGGTCCCCTTGAAAAGCTGGTGGAGGGTAATGTGGAGGAGCTGGTGGACAGTGCGTCTATGCCATGGGGAAGTGGTCTGTTGGCAGACTGTTGCACAAACACATAGGAAAAATGTCAGCTTGCGCTGTAATTTTCATTACTGCTAGCTTAAAGACAATTTGATGCATTTTTTACAAAAGGACTTTAGGTCCTCCCCCTGGACTGCCACCTTAACGTGGTGGGGGAGTTTAAGTACTCGGGTGATCCTGGGAGCTATGCTGTCTGGGGCTTCATGCCCCTGGTAGGGTCTCCCGTGGCAGACAGGTCTTGGGTGACGAGTCAGACGAAGAGCAGTCAGAAGCCAACATGAACAGCACAAAGAGAAGAACCGTGACGTCGCCCGGCATGGCTCAGCCCGAAGGGTCGACATGGGCAGTCCCTCCTGTGGGCCCACCACCTGCAGGGTGGTCCGTGGTGGCGCGGTGCAGAGAGGACTGGGCAGCAGTCGAAGGCGGGGACCTCGGCGACCCAGTACACACACCCAACATCTGGCTCTTGGGACGTGGAACGTCACCTCACTGGGGGGAAAGGAGCCCGAGCTCGTGGGGGAGGTCGAGCGATGCCGACTAGAGATAGTCGGCCTCACCTCCACACACAGCTTGGGCTCTGGAACCCAACTCCTTGAGAGGGGTTGGACGCTCCACTTTTCTGGTGTTTCTCGCGGGGAGAGGCGGCGAGCTGGGGTGGCCATTCTCATTGCCCCCCATCTCAGCCGCCACGTGTTGGAGTTCTCCCCGGTGAATGAGAGGGTTGCGTGCCTTCGGGTGGGGGACAAGTCTCTCACTGTTGTGACGGCCTACGGGCCTAACAGCAGTGCAGAGTACCCGGCCTTCTTGGAGTTCTTGGGAGGGGTACTGTACGGTGCACCAACCGGGGACTCCGTTATTCACCTGGGGGACTTCAACGCCCATGTGGGAAATGCCAGTGACACTTGGAGAGGGGTGATTGGGAAGAACGGCCCGCCCGGTCTGAATCCGAGTGGTGTTCAGTTGTTGGACTTCTGTGCCAGTCACGGTTTGTCCATCACAAACACCATGTTCGAGCACAAGGGTGTCCACCAGTGCACGAGGTACCAGGACACCCTAGGCCGGAGGTCGATGATTGACTTTGTTGTCGTATCATCTGACCTTCGACCGCGTGTTTCGGACACTCGGGTGAAGAGAGGGGCGGAGCTGTCAACCGATCATCACCTGGTCGTGAGTTGGATCTGCTGGCAGGGGAGAAAGCCGGTCAGACCTGGCAGGCCCAAGCGTGTCTCGCTGAGCCCCCTGTCAGACGGACTTTCAACTCACACTTCCGGGAGAGCTTCTCCCAGGTCCCGGCGGAGGAGGGGGACATTGAGTCCGAGTGGTCTCCCTCTATTGCCGATGCGGCGGCTCGTAGCTGTGGTCGCAGGGTCTCTGGTGCTGGTCCCGGCGGCAATCCCCGAACCCGGTGGTGGACACCGGCAGTAAGGGATGCCGTCAGGCTGAAGAAGGAGTCCTATCGAGCAATGATGGTTCATGGGACTCCTGAGGCAGCTGTCCAGTATCGGCAGGCCAAGCGCGCCGCGGCCCGGGCTGTTGCAGAGGCAAAAACCCGGGACTGGGAGGAGTTCGGAGAGTCCATGGAGCATGACTATCGGTCGGCCTCGAAGAGATTCTGGCAAACCATCCGGCGCCTCAGGAGGGGGAAGCAGTCCTTTGCCAACACTGTGTACGGCGCGGGTGGAGGGCTGCTGACCTCAACTGGGGATATTGTCGGGCGGTGGAAGGAATACTTCGAGGTTCTTCTCAATCCCCCCGTCACGTCCTCCGCCCTGGAGGCAGAGGCTGAGGATGTTGGGGCGGATACTTCCATTTCCCTGGCAGAGGTCACCAAGGTGGTTGGCAGCCTCCAAGGTGGTTGGCAGCCTCCATGGTGGCAAGGCGCCGGGAGTGGATGAGATCCGTCCTGACTATCTAAAGTCTCTGGATGTTGTAGGACTGTCTTGGCTGACACGTCTCTGCAACATCGCGTGGCGATCGGGGGCGGTGCCAATGGAGTGGCAGCCCGGAGGTGGTGGTCCCTCTCTACAAGAAGGGGGACCGGAGGGTGTGTTCCAATTATCGTGGGATCACACTCCTCAGCCTCCCTGGTAAGGTTTACTCCAAGATACTGGAGAGGAGGCTACGGCCGATGGTCGAATCTCGGATTCAGGAGGAGCAGTGTGGTTTTCGTCCCGGTCGCGGAACACTGGACCAGCTCTATACTCTCCATCGGATACTCGAGGGTTCATGGGAGTTCGCCCAACCTGTCCACATGTGCTTTGTGGATATGGAGAAGGCGTTCAACCGTGTTCCCCGGGGTGTACTTTGGGGGGTTCTCCAGGAGTACAGGGTCCGGGGTCCTCTGCTGAGGGCCGTCCGGTCCCTGTATTTTCGGAACCAGAGCTGTGTTTGCATTGCCGGCAGTAAGTCAGACCTGTTCCCGGTGCATGTTGGCCTCCGCCAGGGCATGGACAGAATTTCTAGGCGCAGCCAGGGGTCGTAGGGGGTCCGGTTCGGGGACCACAGGTTTTCATCTGTGCTGTTTGCGGATGATGTTGTCCTGTTGGCTGCAACTAACCAGGACCTGCAACATGCACTGGAGCGGTTTGCAGCCGAGTGTGAAGCAGCTGGGATGAGAATCAGCACCTCCAAATCTGAGGCCATTGTGCTCGACCGGAAAAGGGTGCCTTGCCCTCTTCAGGTGGGTAGGGATGTCCTTCCTTAAGTGGAGGAGTTCAACTATCTTGGGGTCTTGTTCACGAGTGAGGGAAGGATGGAGCGTGAGATTGACAGGCGGATCGGTGAGGCGTGCGCAGTGATGCGGTCGCTGTATCGGGTCGCTGTGGTAAAGAGGGAGCTGAGCCGAAAGGCAAAGCTCTCGATTTACCGGTCAATCTTCGTTCCCTCCCTCACCTATGGTCATGAGCTTTGGGTAATGACCGAAAGAACGAGATCGCGGATACAAGCGGTGGAAATGAGCTTCCTCCGCAGAGTGGCTGGGCGCTCCCTTAGAGATAGGGTGAGGAGCTCGGCCACACGGGAGGAGCTCGGAGTAGAGCCGCTGCTTCTTCTCTCAACTGGCCTGGGAGCGCCTTGGGGTCCCCCCAGACGAGCTGGAGGAAGTGTGTGTGGATAGGGAAGTCTGGGCGTCTCTGCTTAGTATGCTGCCTCCTTTTATGGGCTGGCGAGTGTAGTTCAGTAATGGCGCGAGTCTCTGTAAAGCGTTACTCCGAATCGAGGAAATACATGCTCATTTCATGTGACGGGAAGGCTGTTGAGGTCGGGGGTCGCGGGGGAGCAACGCATTAATCATTGGGGTCGCGGGCTAGAACCATTGGGAACCCCTTTTCTAGAGCACAGCAGCCATCGCAGAGCTTCCTCCGTTTCTCTCTTCCAAACATAACTAAAGTTGATAAATTCCACAAGGCTGAAGTCTGTAAAATGAGTAATCCGTGTTTTGTGGATAACATTTTTTATAAAATGATTAAAAGGAGATTAAAAAGCAAGTGCGGAGCAGTAAGGCAAGCGTGCAGATGCAGATGCTTAATATCTACTGTATTTATATTATCTCATAACATGTAGCGTTATATTAATAATAATTTGCAGATTGTGACATTTATTTATTTATTCATTATTTTGACACTTTTGATCCTCCATACTCAAAAGTGAGATTTGCACTAAAATGTCAAAAAATTGACCAGGTCAAGTAGAAAGCAGTATAAGAAATATATTTACGCAGTTTATGAGTTAAAAAAAAGTTGATTTGGTGTTTAGTTGTCCTTTAAGTTATGCGCTACCTACTACGAATTATTGAACTTTTTCATTTTGACAGATGGACGGCATCAATTATACATTGTGTTCATGTATTTTATGCTTGTTGAAATAATGATGCACTTTTTCAACATACTATCTATTGAAGTGCCTTTCCCCACTATTCTGTGTTGGTCCATTTTCCCAAACACACCCTGGCAGGACATTTGGAGGTGAGTAAACACAAAATATTTCATCAGCTGTGCGAGCCGTTGATTTTTAGGCTTACGGTACAACGTTCCACTGTTTGCTGGAGCAAGCATGAAAAGTAAAGAGGATCCACTCTCACCTTTGCTAAACTTTAATAATATGCATCTTCTGTGAATGCCCAAACATTTGGGGGGGAAGCGGTGCCAGAACATCTGTTGGCTGAGAGAGAGTATTCAGCAGAGAGCCATGGAGTGAGATGGACTGCAGAGCGGATTTGTGCGTGGGGGGGGGGGGGGGGGGGGCATTCATTAACCTTGAGCTAATGTGCGGAGAAATGCAAGAGTTTAGGAGCAGCGTAGCGTTTGGAAGGCGTGGGGTGAAAGAAGAAATATTATCTAGCTATAAACCCGAGTGAAGCTATTTAGTCTTTCTTTTCATGTTTTAGAGTGTGAAGTATTTTTTTACAGTGGAAAATGTATGGTGAAAACCAGTTTGAAGGTTGAATAATGCGACCCATCTGCCCTATCTCTATGCTACCACCAGAGGGATAAGCTGTAATCATTTTCCTAAAGCTTGTGGAGAAATCCAAGTTTAGGAGGGTGTGGAAGTTGTGGGGTGACTAAGACAGGTTTAAAGAAGACGTATTACATGTATGCCATATTCTTGCCCATTAAAATGATGAGACTATTTACTTTGTCAGTTAAAGCGGCACAGACTTTTGTTTGTAATCATTACGAAAATCCATATCCATGCAGTGGATTGGGATATACGTCCTTTTGAAGTAGTGCAGGGTTGTGCTGGCGTGACATTATACTTTAGATCGAGTTTAGGTGAAACAAGGAAGAGAAAGTGTTTTGGGTCTCAGATTGTGACCAATCACAGCGGACCACTGGCCCCCGCTTTCGTGAGAAAAGCCACAGTCTCTGGTTAGCACCGTAGTTAGCACAGACAGCTGAGTTAGCACAACAATCGGCAGAAGCTAACCTGAATCTTCCTGTGTCTTCGTTACTGCTTACACAGCGAAACATCCATCCAAAAGAAAGTCTCGTCCTCTCTGCGCTTCCCGGTTCTGTAATTCTATGGTCACGCCATCCACGTG